TTTTTTTTTTTTTTTTTTTTTTTTTTTTCAGAATGAGGTTTAATGCTGTGTGTGTTCACACACCAAAGCTATTTCCACCAACATAGGAAACCTAACTCGCGCTGTGTATTTCCTCGGGGTCAATCCCAAGAGCCTGGGCCGTTCCAGATGCAGATGGAAGGGGGCAGCACCACCAGACACCGGAGGGGTCTGCGGGGGATGGGTTTAATTAATCGTCCTTCTTGAACTTGCCGCTGATGTAGGGCACCCAGTCCGGAATCAGCCGCCAGTCAGTGGCCCACACCAGCCCCATGGCTCCCATGGTGCCCCACATGCCCACTGTGGGTAACCAGTTTCTGGCCAGCTGGCGGTAGTGCGGGCCCACGAACCTTTCCAACATAGCGGCACCGTCCCAGCTCAGGGTCACCACCAATGTATTTCTAATTCCCAGATTTACAGGATTCTTTTCCATCTGACTTGACCTTTCTGCAATATTGGCTCCAGACACACACTTCCTCCCTCCTAGAACTGTCACTTTCCTAAGTTTCCATGGTATCGCTGTACTGTTTCTCCTCCTGCCTTTCTAAGCACATCTTCCTGGTTTGCTCTGCAGATTTTTCTTCCTTTGACTGCCAGGTACATGCTGGTATTTGCCGGCGGGCTGCATCTGTGGTCCCCTTCTCTTTTCAGCTAGCTGCTCTCTATTGAGAGCAGTTTGACCCACACTCATAAAGCCTCCAAATACTCATCTCTAGGGCCAGCCTCTCACTGAAGTTCCAGCCCCTCACACATCGATAGCGGCCCCATACCTCCCAAGATTGCCCACACCATCTCAAATGCAACACGTCTAACCAAACCTGCTGCTCCTCTGCCTCCAGTGTGTCACACCTGAGGCCAATGGTATCCTTCAGGGACTTCAGCCAAAAACTTGGCAGGGGGTGGGGGAGGGAGGAGGGGGGAGGTTCATCTTAAGTCCTCAGAGAGAGCCCTTAAAGCCCCTGGAGCTTACATTCTAATCGGGGGTGAGAAACAAATGAATTAATAAAAAATATTAGTTCATACAATGACAATGTTATGAAAGCACTGGCATGGTAAAGGAATAGAGTAACTGGGGGGCGAGGTGTTTTTTTTTAACAGCATTTATTTTTTTAAGTATTTTACCTTATTATTATTATTATTATTATTTGGCCACGTGGCATGCAGGATCTTAGTTTCCCCAACCAGGGATTGAACCCGCACCCCTTGCACTGGAAATGCGGAGTCTTAACCACTGGACCGCCAGTGAAGTCCCTGAGGTGTCTTTCTTTTTTTTTAATACATTTATTTATTTATTTATGTTTGGCTGTGTTGGGTCTTCGTTGCTGTGCACGGGCTTTCTTCGTTGTGGTGGCTTCTCTTGTTGCAGAGCACGGGCTCTAGGCACGCGGGCTTCAGTAGTTAGAGCACGCAGACTCAGTAGCTGTGGCTCGCAGGCTCTAGAGCACAGGCTCAGTAGTTGTGGTGCACGGGCTTAGTTGCTCCGTGGCATGTGGGATCTTCCTGGACCAGGGTCTCGAACCCGTGTCCCCTGCATTGGCAGGTGGATTCTTAACCACTGCACCACCAGGGAAGTCCTGAGGTGTCTTTTTGATATGAGATCAGAGACCTGAATAAGCAACAGCTTTCAAAGAGACTTCCAGTTTCAGCCTCATTCCCCTCAAACCCACTGTCCCTGCTACTTTAAGAATACTCTTTCTAAAATATAAATTTGGTCACACTGCTCTCCTGCTTAACAGCTTTTGAGTTTCCCACTGCTTATAAGGGGTAAACTCTTTACCACAACCAATGGCCTTCTCTGGTCTGGGTCCCTGCCTTCCTCTCCAGGTTCATCGCAATCAAAGCCTTGAGTGCCTACTATGTGCCAGGTACTGTTCTCGGTGTGAAGGACCCTGTGAGGACAGGGCAGACGAAAGTCCCAACACTCATGGAACTTCTTACTTCTATGGGAGAGATGTAATTTTTAAAATGTGTAAACAAGTAAATAAAAATTTTAGACATGAAGTGATTTTAGATATGAAAAAGTTTAGTGATGAGTGATAGGAAGAAAATAAAATGGTAAAGTCACAGGTAAATAAATGGTCAGGGAAGGTCCCTTAGAAGAAGTGATCTTTGAGGTGAGCTCCAAATGATGAGAAAGGGAAGATCTTGGGTAACAGAGCTCCAGGCAGGGGGAGGAGCAGGCACAAAGCTCCAAGGCAGGAATCGGTGGAGAGTGTTCAAGAAGCAGGCCGCGGGGTGGTTGCAGCACAGAGCATAGCAGGAGGGTTGGTCAGAGATGAGGTTAGAGTCAGGAAGGAGTGAGAACACTTGGGTGTGGTGCCTTCCCGATGTCACTGCTTGAATTCCAGAGCCTTTTATCTTGTTTATTTTTAGTTTTTTTGGCTGCACTGCACAGCCTGCAGGATCTTAGTTTCCCGACAAGAGATTGGACCGCGTCCTCAGCAGTGAAAGCATGGAGTCCTAACCACTGGGCCGCCAGGGAACTCCCTCCAGAGTCCTTTAGATGCTTCAGACGCACCATGCTCTTGCATCTCCCACCTCTGCCAGTGGTTTGCTCTCTCCACTAAGGGAACTCGTACTCATCCTTCGAGACTTGGCTCTGTGAAACGTTCCCTAACTCCCACTTCTAGGCTATTTAGTCACCCCCTCCGGCTCCCTCATTAAAGTATAAAGCAGTCCTGCAGAGCAGACGTCTGTCAGCTACATCCTCACTATGTACACATCTGTATCTAACACTAGACTGTGAGCCTCCTGAGGGAACAGTGAATTCACTTTCAGATTCTCACCATCTAGCCCAGATATGAAAGAGGTATTTGATTGATAAATGAATAAATGCTGCTCTGCTAATGAGAACTGTCAGACTGGGTTTGTCAGAAATGAAATCTATTGATATATGATTCTTTGGAGCCATTCTACAATAGCATCTACTTACACACTTAAATCTGATGTTTTCACTGGTTCATCAAATATTTATACAGCAATTTCTGCCAGAAGCTGGGGATACAGCTGTGAACAGAGACATAGCATCGTTGCCCTTATGAATATATTTTCTACCAGGGAAGTCAAACAAATAATCATTACTCAGTTGCTTACTTACGAAAGGAACAAGTCCTACGAAGGAGAAATAAAGGGTACCACGAGTGTCTTAATGGGGAGACTCTACTTACTCTGGGAGGTCAGGAAAGCCTTCTTTGAAAAGTGACAACAGAACTGAGCTCCGAAGAATAAGTAGGAACAAACAAGAAGGGTGAACATTCCCAACAAAATGTATTATATGTCCAAAGGCGCTAAGGCAGGATGGGGCATGATGTAGCTGAAGAACAAAGAGGGGAGAAGATCACAAAGTGAATGTGGCATCATTAACTCATAACATGATAGAAGATGATATATAATGCTGATCTCAAGTAATAGCACATGTTTTAACATTCACTTGTGGTGACTTACGTTTGTTTTAGCTCTATCAACAGTAAAAGGAAAAAGAGAGGGAAAACAAGAATGCAGTATTGTAAATGAACTGTCTTAAACCTCTCTAACACAGTGTACCATTCTTGGCTCTGAATCTATTTTGTGCCATAAATAATTGCTAAGAACCATTAACACAAGTAGCAAGTGCCATAATAAAAGATATATTTGGTGCTGAGTGAATGCAGACTAATTTAGATACTTGCGTTATGAGACTGTAAATTCCTGGAGGGCTCCTGTTCTGATGCATCTTTATATTCAGTTCAGCAACTAGCACAATGACTTACTTGCGATGAGCCCTCAAACTGTTACCAAGTGTATCCCGGTGCAGGGACTCATGGTTTATACTACTAATTGGCACACACCCTGATCTGAGGTTAGTTGGCAGAAGCCTCCCTGAGAGACACAGTGTCAGAAGAAAGAAAACAACTCAAGATTTTTTTTTTAGAACAAAGTGAATTTAAAACAACCAAAATGGAGGACTTATCATTTACAGTTGTTTTAGAAAACAGGCTAAACACAACCACTGATCAAATATGTTGAAAAAAATTTTAACCTGAAGCATATGAAGAAAACTCAAGGACTGAAAAGAGTTGATAAAAAAAAAATGAGTTTTGGTGAATAGGCAGAAGATGGCAGAGTAGAAGGACGTGCTCACTCCCTCTTGTGAGAGCACAAGAATCACAACTAACTGCTGAACAATCATCGACAGGAAGACACTGGACCTCACAAAAAGGATACCCCACATCCAAATACAAAGAAGAAACTGCAAAGAGATGGTAGAAGGGGTGCAATCACGATAAAATCAAATCCCATAACTGCTACGTGGTGACTCACAAACTGGAGAACAATTATACCACAGAAGTTCACCCACTGGAGTAAAGGTTCTGAGTCCCACGTCAGGCTTCCCAACCTGGGGGTCCAGCAATGGGAAGAGGAATTCCCAGAGAATCAGACTTTGAAGGCTAGCAGGATTTGATTGCAGGACTTTGACAGGACTGGGGGAAACAGAGACGCCACTCTTGGAGGGCAAACACAAAGTAGTGTGCACATCAGAACCCAGGGGAAGGAACAGTGACCCCATAGGAGACTGAACCAGACCTACTTGCTGGTGGTGGAGGGTCTCCTGCAGAGGTGGGGTGTGGCTGTGGCTCACCGCAGGGACAAGGACACTGGCAGCAGAAGTTCTGGGAAGTACTCCTTGGCGTGAGCCCTCCCGGAGTCCGCCATTAGCCCCTCCAAAGAGCCTGTCGGCTCCAGTGCTGGGTCACCTCAGGCCAAACAACCAACGGCGAGGGAACTCAGCCCCAACCATCATCAGACAGAAGATTAAAGTTTTACTGAGCTCTGCCCACCAGAGCAACACCCAGCTCTACCCACCACCAGTCCCTTCCATCAGGAAGCTTGCACAAGGGTCTTAGATAGCCTTTTTCACCAGACTACAATCCTGCAGCCTGTGGAATGAAAATGACATTCACAGAAAGGCAGACAAATGAAAAGGCAGAGGACTATGTACCAGAACAAGATAAAACCCCAGAAAAACAACTAAATGAAGTGGAGATAGGCAACATTCCAGAAAAAGAATTCAGAATAATGACGGTGAAGATGATCCAGGACCTTGGAAAAAGAATGGAGGTAAAGGTCGAGAAGATGCAAAAAATGTTTAACAAAGACCTAGAAGAATTAAAGAACAAACAAACAGAGATGAACAATACAATAACTCAAATGAAAAATACACTAGAAGGACTCAATAGCAGAATAACTGGGGTAAAAGAACAGATAAGTGACCTGGAAGACAGAATGGTGGAATTCACTGCCATGGAACAGAATAAAGAAAAAAGAATGAAAAGAAATGAAGACAGCCTAAGAGACCTCTGGGACAATATTTAATGCACCAAC